CTTAGTAGATAAGAAGTTTTTTTGTACAAGTGTTTGTTTACATTTATGTGTGTCATCTTTATAGAGTTAATTTAATAATAAAAAATTATTTTCAATTGTCTTAAATTTTTATCTAAAGGGTTCTAAAACTGGGTGCATTTAGAGTGACGCTCAGTTATGCATATTTTGATATCAATTTAAGCAAATCACTTATTTGCATAATACGGGAGGTGTCGAGGACCAGGTGTGTTGCAAGCGTATGTTTCATTGGTACATTATTAGTACATTTATACAGACCGCATTCCTTAGCTTACTTACATTTTGTCTATTTGTTTTGTTGGTGATTTTCTTCTTATTGTTATTGTTGTTATTATTCTTATTATTATTATTATTATTATTATTATTATTATTATTATTATTATTAATATTATATATTATTTTATATTATTGTCGCTATATATTGTTGTTGTTTATGGGACAATCAAGACGCGCTTTATGATGTATTGTTTGTTTTTATTTATAAATACGATTGTGTGTGTGTGTGTGTGTGTGTGTGTGTGTGTGTGTGTGTGTGTGTGCGGTTTTGATGTGCAAATACTTATATGCACCTGTACTGAATTTCAATGTGATTCATGCCAGACTTGCCATACAAATCATTTTAATTGCTTAACTAAATGTACAACTTTTGTTTTTTAACGCTACTATTCAACGCTACTATTCAACCAACGCGTATTCAATGCAGGCATAGTTATAGGTTATTGCGTTGTTTTGCATTTCATAAAAGAGTATAGCCATGTCCGCAAAAGGCTAATAACAATAATGCAATTTATCGCAGTTTAGTGAACTTTTTATCAAAAATGGTTAATGATGTGTGGGCACGTTCTGATTTTTCTCTTTTTATTTTATAATAATTCTTCTTAAGGACTGACACACGCTTTATTATTTCGTATTATTTATTAAGAGTAATTGATTATAATTTTCTTTAGGGATTTTATGTCCCTGCGTCGCATGCATAAATATAATATAATAAAAAATATAATATATATATATATATAAATAAATGTGAAGCGAAATGAAGAAAATGAATTGCAATCACAAGCTGAGAAGAAATATAAACATCGTTCATCGTTTTAGGGTCAATGTGCTTTACTGCCTATCTATAAATATTTCTTCTTTCGTTATAGAACAATTGCATACAAATGAAGATTATGCCATCTAAATATAATAAACTTCAGCAAACACAGCAATTATAATAAATGGAATCTGTTATATCTGTAATGCATACTTTTCATGAACAAAATTCTAAACATTCTCTATGCGTCTCTGTAACGAAGACGATGTATGTATACGCAACGATGATAAATGCGAAATTTTTTCAACAACTTAGCTTCGGTTCTCTTATAATATTCCCTATCCATTTAAGGTATCCCAAAAAGTGTCATGTTTAAGCTTTTCCGGTTGTGCTTAAAGTATAGACTAAGAGCTAAACAAATGGAATCTTTGTCCTAACGCCTGCGGCAAATCGTGTATATCAAAGACAGGGACTTATGAATGGTACAAAATTTTCAAAGAAGCCCTATCGTTCCGTTTCGGAAAATTAATCGCAGTCTTCTTACAGAATTGATACAAGCGTTTGCTCATAGCTCCTATTGCATTAATTCTAGACATTCTGGCTGATGTTTTGGTAGAAAAACCCCACGAAATGACTAAGAGCAGTATTTAGTTGGCATGGTTCCGTGGCATGGTTCAATATTCTCTATTTTTCAAAGACAAGGTACATTGAAATGTTTATTTAACGAGCTCAAAATATTACATCAGTCAGCTAAAAATGCATGCAACACTAGTTCAAGGATTAGCTTACTACGAATATTAAATAAAAAATATGTTGAAGGCTGATTGAAAGCATACAATAAATGCAAATAATAAATAGATGAAAAACGAATGCGAAGAAGCTTTCCAATATTCAACAGCAATTTGGAAAGATTTTAATATAGAACATGCCCACTATCTTTATCAAGCGGAAAGAGGCAAAAATTGCAATTAAATCTTTTGGAATACCAGTTGAAAATTTCCGCACGATAGGATAGAATAGGTTAAGATTAATCAACTAAAAAGCTCTAATTAATGTACAATTCCATCTTCTTCCCTACTTTGCGATTTTCCGCATAAAATGAACAAAAGAAGCCAAAAGCATAATAATTATAAAAATTAAATATATAAGAAACACTAGGTCTTATATACTATTACCACCGCACCCTTTACAATAAATGAAAAGGCGGGATTGGCTCTTGTTTCTCTGAAAGTTTCTCTTACATACTTTGTATGTTGCAATTTCTTTCAGTTATACGTACACTTTATGGTAAATAGTCATAGCGTTTGATTATTCATGCTACAGGATTCATTATTATTATTATTATTATTATTATGATTATAATTGATTATATATATTTTATTTAGACGAAGGAAATAAATTTTAGGAGTAAAAAGTAGGATGAGTATTAGCAACCAAAGCTATTGGCTCTTTTTTTTTTTTTGTTTTGAAAGCTAGTCTAGATGGGTTCTCTAGCCGTTTCTATTGATATTACGCTCTCCAGGTGCTTTCAAAATGTCCATAGAGTCTCACTAAGCCACGTATGCCTGCAGGTATATGATGGACTTGTTCTTAAGTCGTAACAAATAAATAAATTAATTACACTATTTATGCAAAAAGGAATTGACGGACGGCTTTCCCTTTGGCCGAATAAAAGAAAATGTCTGGTAAATTAATTAATACATGCAGAAATGGAAAAGGGATATGACGAATAAGTTCTCCCCTTTTACCTATTTTTACTTTTGAACACATGTCATGGATGCCTGCGGGTAATGGTGGTAATTGATCAACAAGCACAGTGGAAGCCTTATGACGGAAGCAGTCAGTTGATCAATTGGTGAGTCCTGACTACTGGGTGCGGCCCTTCGGGGAGTACTCGTGGTGGTTGTGGTTGGCGAGTTCCTAGCTAAAATGGAACAATTGAGTGCAGCTGGGCCTCGCCATTCACCAGAGTGGGGTTTATTGTTCCATACACAATAAACTATTCTGGACTCTGGTGCTGTTTAGGCCCCTACTCTGTGGGGATTGTCTAACTCGCCAGGGGGCGTAGTACGCTTAAAAAGTGGTTTGGGCCACCGTGGGGTTAAGCCTTACAGGCAGGAACCCACGTTAAATCCTTGCCACAAATTCTGTCCATAGAGTCTTTGAGTGTCTTCGAGAATCGGGTGATATTCACAAAGCTATATATGTTTAATCGTAAAATTTTGTTCAAATCGGGGAATCAGTTTTCTCAAGGATCAATTCAGCTACCCTGCAATGCTATGACCAAAGCGGATTCTTGCAAATGATCTTTATCTTGATTTTTATTTTCTATTTTTCAATTTTTATAATCATTTTATTCATTCTTAATGCCGCTCTAATTAAGCAATGTCACGAATACCGAAGAGTATACACGGTGGGGTAACTTCACATTTATTTTATGTTAGGTTGACGGAAAGGCAATAATGTATTTCAGATTTTTTTGGTGACTCTTTTGGCATCGTTGTCACTATAATTTGTCATCAATGTCGTTGAAAAATATTTATTTGCAATAAAAAAAAACACACACACACACACACACACACACACATTTTACAGTCATGGCATAGAAAACATTTTAGTCAAATTTTTAGCAAGTACTTTGCTTTATTGGTCGTACTTTGGAGTATCTTATGGCGGCACATTTGCCAAATCGCTCCATATATAAAAATAAGTAAAAAAAAAAAAAAAAAAAAAAAAAACACATCACATTTGAATTAAATTAATGAAAATTTATGTATATATGTCGGTATTTCAAATACTTCAAGTACATATTAAGATAACATAAGTGTATGCATTAATATGTCTACTCGGAAAAATGCAAGTGTACAAAAATCTATTTCAAGATATATTTAGAGCATAAAGAAAACTTTAATTATATTTTAAAAATAACTTATTGCATATGACCTCATCTTAGAAGCGTGGGACATAGAAATAATCAAACGTGCATTCACGCTAGTCATACATCATAGGATGGCTATTAAGCACATGTGGACGAGGATCACAAAAAGGATTAACGCGCTTTGCGAAAACAATTAGAGTAATTAAGGAAAATCGGGAAAAAGAAATATTCCCTCTTAGCGATCCAACAATATATCAAGACAACCGGGACAATTTTTGCAACGAATTCTTCAATGTTGCTGTGAAGGCATCCATAGAGTACAATATTTCATAATAAAGTTCAAGTTTTCTCAAAGGTATCTTCTAATTATTTTTTCAGAATGGGTGGAGCAGTAATGGCAGAGTGTTATAGTTGTGGCGGGACATATTCGGCTTTTATATGCAAAGTTTAATCGAATGCGCGAAACTTTTTTATATTCTAGCGTAACTAGTACGTTTTCTGAAAAAAAGAAAAGAATCTCTCACACACATTTACTTAGAGCGAACCGAGTCTTTTAATAAAGTTCATTACCATCATTAAAGGAAAACTGAATCATTTATTTAAAAATTAAGTACAAACAATAGTATAAATCGCATGCGAGAAACTAACTGAATCGAGAGATATGGGAGAGAAAATTTGTTGTAACATTGTACTCACTTCACTGACTCTAATATAAATAATTGAAAACTTGTAAAAAAAAAACAAAGGAGAATATTAACCATAACACAAATAGCAGCGTAGTTGCACTCTTACTTTGCCAGCTTAAAAACAATTGCGGTACAACATTATCCAGTTGTTAATGTACTGAGCAGTCACAGTTTCAGTCACAAATTAACCAGTAAAATAACAAGTTGTTCGTGTGGAGTTAGCGGTTAATAATCACTAAAACAAAAAAAAAAAAAACAAAAAACAAAATAAATCAAAAAAAGAAAAACAAAGAAAAATAGAAACACAAACATATATACATATATATAAATATATGTAATATAAAAATAAAAAAAAAATATATACATATATATATATATCTATATATGCGCGTAAGGATATTTTATTTGCCCATAGATGAATTAAATTTTGCCCATACTCTTAAATAAGTGCGCAAAAATTGCTCGATATTTTGTCAATTGTGGGCGTGTTGAGAATCTTTGTTCAAAGAATATTTTTTTTTTTTAAGACCTTGGGAAATATTTACATGGAAAATTTCATGTCAATGCTTGTATCAAGATATTAACATATATACATACATGTTTATATATAAGGTATCAATTATTATTTAAAACATTTTAAATTTTCTAATATTTTTAAGCATTACTTTCCTTTTTCGAAATTCTAGGAATAGAGTATGCGCATTTTCAAATTGATTTTGTGAAATAGAACTAACGATGTAATTATACATTATTAGAACAACTCTTTATTTTCTAATGCGTCCATCTTTGAGAATCTTTAAATCATAAGGACGGATTGACAGACATATAAACAATAAGACAGACAAAAAACACAAGTAAATAAATAAATAATCAAAAAAAAAAAAAGAAAAAAGAAGAAAAACACAAGGCCCGTACTGTTACTTTAACGGTCTTTGAGAGATTTGTTACAAATGCCGCAACAAAACTTGCATATCGCCATTGGTTGGCGGTAGCAATAAAGATATAATAACCGAGAGAATACATTACAGAAAATAGTTAAATTCCCATAGATCTTCAAAAAGAATACAATTTTCTAAGCATTTTGCATATACTATATAATAAACCAAAAAAAAAAAGTCTATAAATAAATAAGTAAAAAAAACACAAAACTTAGATAACAAAACACAAATCATGTCGACAGTCATTAATGATGATGTTGAAAAAAATGCTAACAACGAAAACACTCACACAAGTACGTTGACCGTCGAAATACCAATAATACCGATTAGCGCAATCAGTAATGAGCATGCTGATATAATAGCTAGCCCTCCGGTAACGGTAACTGTAGCAGAGGCATCTAAGGATACCACGGATACGGCTGCAATCGTTGTTAAATCGAATAATAGTGAAAATAATAATAACAATAATAATGCTAATCTGCAACAAGATCAACAGCAACAGCAACAGCAACAGCAAAACACAAATACCACTATCACCACCACCATGACCATCAGCAGCAAAGGTAATAAAAAAAATAAAAAATAAATAAAAAAAACAAACAACAAAAAGCCTAATAATCCATTCACTTTTACCGGTCATTAGTTTATAAGCATGACTTTATAATAACAAAAATCATAACAATAATAACAACAACAGCATGCTCTGATCAACATGATCATGAAATTAATTTAGAAATTTTATTATTTATTTCAAATAAAAAGGAGAGAGAAGAAGAAAAGAAGCAAATGCTTTTACATGAAACACGAAAAACCACTTTTTTCTTTTAACATCCATCACTGTTTAACTAGCAAATGGTGATCACGATTATTACGATCATGATGATAATGATATTGATGATGATAATAATGACGATGATAATAATGATGATGATGATGATGATGATGATGGGGTTGCTGCCGATAATAGCAAACCTGACAAGCAGACATGCAGACAACCAGACAACCAGACATTTTATAATCATGAAGTTTAATTAGCGTTATCATTAGCATTCTCATTATCGTTGTTGTAATTGCTTAGTAAAAGTTTTTACTTTTTATTTTTGAAATTTTTTGCTTTTTTTTTCTATTTAATGCCTGCACAAATTAAATCATGTTTGTTTTCACTTGTAACAGCGCTTTCCTTCGTGCAAAACAAACACAATCTTATTTAAATTTTCCTTACGAACCGTTAAATTTGGCGAATATATTCGATTCGTTAAACAGTTCGTATATGAAACCTTTTTGAAAATATTTAAATGTTTTTTTTTTTTTTTTTTTTTTTTTTTAAATTTATTCTTATAACGATGTTGACGCTTTAAAGGAATAATTTTCTAATAGAGTCTTGTCTTTCTCAGCAACGTAAATAGTGTATATACAAGACCACTCATATAGTTCTCTTTAATGCTTTCAATCTTGCGTAATTCATCCCTCATTCGAAATCGTCATTCTTAAATATTTCATTCATTTTTCTTGCCTTCTTCGCTAAAGAATACAAAAAAGTAATTAAAAGATTTACAAAATCCCTTAGTAAGCCTTGCATTCATCATATAGATAATATAATCAGTCAAAGCAGTTCCACATTGCACGCGCTAAACTGCATTTTCGCCCAATCTAAAAATATTGCGAATTACGTAAATCCTCATCTAACATGTCCATCTGGACTGATGTCTCTGAGGAAGTCGACCGTTTTTCAATCTTATGCGACTAATGCGAGTAATTAGCAATCGATCAAAATAGTAGCAGGACCAGCGAATGACGCGTTGATTTTAAAAATGATAATGCCTTCACGGGAACGTCAAACCCACGAAATAATAACACTATAACCGTCGCTCAGTTTCATTCTAGGGACAAATGTAATTTGTATCCCTTCAGTTATTTACTAATACATCAAAGGAAGTCGCCGCTACATCTACATCCCGTCAACTATGTGCATATATGCATAAATAAGTTACGTCCGCTTTCTCTTGCCTTGCTGTTTTAAGGAAAGGCAACATAATTGAACAATTTCCAAAATTAACGAGCAAGTATTTGCCTAAAGATGCATCTACACTAGCTTCGACTGCAATATATGAATTTTAGTATAATAACGTCCTTAAAAGTTGACAGTTCATTTAACTTTGTCCGTCTGATCGTTTACTTGACGTTTTTCATTTAGTCGCTTTTAATCTTAGATATTGCGATTTCGCATATTCTTAGTTAATGGCCTTTTAGATCACAATAAAAAATTACCCTGATTATGCCCGCAACGCATAAAAACTATAACTTGGAAATTCTGGCAACAATTGCACGAAATCTGTAGAAATTTCGGGGAAAATGTGCACACAACTCATTAGGTTACATGAATATATACAAAAACTGTAACTTTGGTGCTTTAGATCACAATTAAAAATTACTCTGATTATGTCCGCAAATCTATAACTTGAAAATCCTAACAACATTTGCACTAAATCTCTAAAAATTTCGGGGGGAAATGTGTACAAAACTCATTAGGTTACTACATGCATGTATATAAACAAAAAATGTAACCTATATTGATCCAATGCTAAGTTAAAAGGCCTACCAGACCAACGAATACGCTTGCATTGCAATGTATAATCAAATATTTTGGAAGTCAAATATCTTGGGTGGGTATTAAAAATTCGCGACAAGGCGAATATGACTTTCCCACTTGTTTGGTTACAAAAAAAAAAAAAAAAAAAGAAGCCCATTCATCAGCGTGGAATGCCGACCATTCGTACATAACAAAAAAAAAAAAAAACAAAAACAACAAAGAGGGTAATAGCGTAAAACTATGAGAGCGCGAGTAAAAGCGAAAGTTCCACTTAATTGCTGTAGTTTAAATTCATTTGATTAAAGTCTCAGTAATCGCAGAAAATATCTTATGCCTAAAACTCTGTAAATTTATATATGTATACATATGTATATATATATATATATATGCTTGCTTGTATATATGCAATGATGGTGATGAATGGATGACTTCTAATAGATGCTATCAGCTTTAATTTTTCGCTTTTTTTTTTTTTTTGCAAATTGGGTTATAAACCGATTTAAGACAGTTTTTAATTAAAAGAGAGAAAAATTATTATGCGAAAAATTCCACAGTAATTAATAACAAAGATCACAGTTGAAATGCTTACAAAATTTGTTATTGGATTCATCTCTACGAAGGCAATAAATTAATGAAATTGTCTTAATGGCAACTTAATGCAATATATTGTTATTAAATGTCATAATACATTCAATGTTGTTCGCATATCTTACCCGTTGCTATACACTGTTGCTATACACTGCTGCTGTATGTATATATCCTAGAAGCATTTTCACCTAATCATACATATATTCGCCTGCAATCGAACAGAGAGTTCTCATCAAGTAAGACAAAAAATATTCGGAAATTGAGCAGAAGGTTTAAGTAAATCATAATTTTAGGGCCTTTGTCCGATTTGATAGTTATGTTCATGTCGCAATGTTTTTAAAATCTTTTTATAGCCGATCAATTATAGATATAAAATACAATTTTGAAGGTTATGGCAGGTTATTATTTTCAATGTTCTACGACAAACGCCTGATTACCATTTCGAAGCATACAATAGATAGATAGACTGTGATAATAAAAAAAGTATAAAAAGTATTAAACGATTTTTGAACAGATTGATATTTTATTGGGGAATTCCTACAGCTTTCAATTACCGACTTTTATTTATTTCATAATAAATTTTGAATTTTTTTAAATATATATATAGCGTTTTTGAAAAAGATCAAATCTACCTTTAAGATATAATGTAGAACACTTTTACAGAAACCTTTTTTTTTTTTTTTTTTGTATGGAATTATTGAGTCGCATTTAAAAAAAAAGATGTTGTTTTTAAGAGGAAAGGAATGCGTTTGGTATGATGTGAAAAAAAGTTCTTCTTCTTTACGGCAACAAATGCTTTGTTTCTGTTTCATTTTAGAATAGAAAGGCACCACGAAAAAAATTCAGAAAATATAACAACAGTTGTCACGTTATTATGGAAGTATGAAATCGATTCTATTGAAAGTCATAATTAAAATTCAAAAAAAAAAATAAAAATAAATAAAAAACCAAATGTTTATTTATTTATTTTTTTTTTTTGACAAAATCAATCAACATTCCCTTTCTTTGATAAGTCACCACGAAATGGCTTTTTCTTGGAATATAATAAAATTGATTTCTTCACAGAATTGAAATTAAATGTAAAAACAGCTGCCTTAAAAGATTTATGAAGAAGTAAATATGGTTTGAATTTCACTTCTTCGCCCAATTAAAATATGCGCAGAAAGCAAGATCCAGATAAAATTCATGACAAATAGTCAGGTCGCTGCTGCACCTGCAAACTTAATTAATTAATTCCAAGTTCATTTACTGAAATTCGTATTCGTTATCAGAACATTGTTATTATCAAAGCAACAAGCATGTGCCAATATATTGTTGCTGTATATTAAGTAATAATTCTGCTTCTGGCCACACATGCGCACCTCAACAATATTATTGAAAATACGAGTAAAACAAAGTAAATGAATTGCGCAATGTGAGAATTAAATGAATATATATATATATATATGTATATGTATATATATATATATTTATATATAAAGGTATTATTATATTGCGTCTATGCATTATTCCATAGCAAATGCATATAATATATATAGACACTAGAAACAAAAGTCAACTATACTCATCCTGAGCAATCTGGCCACGACTACAGCATTATTGTGTCCTATGGTTGTCAAGCACATCATGTAGATAAGAAATTTCCATTGAATTTTCCTAAATGTCATCACAAATTTTGACTTTAAACGATACCTCCCGTCAATTTTCTATCCAATCCAACTATTATTAAGGGAGAATTAATAAGACCAAAAAAAAAAAAAAAATCCAAACTGTCCCGCTTCATAGTTTACTTCATAAATTGAAATATTTCACAATTCCATTAGATCCATCCATATTAATATACATACTGTGAGTACGTATGTGCTTATTTATCCAAGTATTTCTTTACGAGTCCCAGAATGGGTTAAGTAAAGTAATCTTTGCACAATATATCACTTTTTTCATTTATTTTAAATGCTATCGGATCTTAAAGGTACCTTATGCTTGTGATGAGTGTTGCGAATATTTCTTCTTTTTTTTTTCTTTTGAAAAAACATTAAAATTAATTTAAAATTGAAATTAAGTTATAGTCAAGAATATGAAACGTCAGTGGGAAGCCGTGATGTTCAAGCTCCTAATTGTGAATCGTGAAAAACCTATCTTAGCTTGCAAGTCAAAATTAGTAAGAAATCTTCTAAAGCAGCGGCTTCCATACTGAGAAGCCTCTGGAAAAAAGTGTTTCTGTCCCTTCTCATCATTGGAAAACGTTGCAATGGAGGGTCTACCGTATTATTCAATCAAAAGATATTGGCTTGCTTTCGGCTCTTCTTCGGCTTTTCTTACACTTGGTCAACTCAGCAGTTTCAAGACGATGCTCTGTATTTTGTAGAATCAACTGAGTACAAATGATTGCGATCTTGCGCAAATCAATAGGAATTCACTGTTCAGATATTGTTATTATAAACTAAACTATCTCTCAAAATAGGAGAAAGAGTTCAAATGAATGAAAACAATTTCAGATTTTTGCGTGAAGCGATAAGAAAAATGAGAAGATTTAAGAACACTTTTGGCACAGTAAGCAAAATATTAAGATGGTAATAATCATTAGACAGATCGGCAGATCTGCTTCGCCACAGCTATCAGATAAATGCATTAATGTACCATACATTGGTAATAACGAGGGGAATCTCTGATTTCTATGCATCTCTCTCTCTCTCTCTCTCTCTCTCTCTCTCTTCATAAGTTTGTATATGAGAATGTTTGTGCATAATTATGTATGAGAATGTGTGAAAAGATTTTTATTGCTTGATAGTGTTTCTTGGCGTATCTTGTCCGATGTTGTATTATTACGAAAGCGGTTAAATGTGCTGGGAAACAATTCGAAAAAAGTTTGTGTTATTTAGGGTGGCGATGCTTTATCAAATGCAGCGAACGATAGATGGCTTGATAATTTCTGGAAAACATGCACCTTGCTCTGGCCGATCAAACACTGCTCCGACTACCTTCTGCACTCTCTTAATGACGTAAGAAACTGACTTCAAAGCGGTCCGTACCCATTGATTCTATTTAGTTTTTTCGCCCACCTGAGACGTGCGGTGTTCAAAAAGGAAAAGGTGACTTTTCGTTTTTCTCGAAAAATATTTATTTATTCATTCAATATGCAATTTGTCCCCTTCAAAGTAATCCCCCTTACATATAATGAACTTGTGGCAATCCTCGAAGCACTTCTGATATGAATTTTTTTTTTTTTTTTTTGTGCTTTCTGAGTGCTTTCGATTATTACCCTAACTCGTATAACTGCCTATATAACTAATTACAAATTTCGTAATAAAAATATTTTTACTAGTATTGAGTTTTTTCACTTAGTAAGCACAATCATCGTTATAGGCGTTTGTAAACAAATTGGTCAGCCATTGGCGTACACTATGCCGCGCTACCCTGTACTGGTTAAATGAAATTTTAAACTTATTTTTAATTTTTTATAATTGCGCAAATAATGGGCTGAATATTATTGAGTTCAAGTATTCATAAGCAATTAATTAAAATATGTTTATTAACAAAAGGATATACATATATATAAATATATATAATATATATAAATGTTATATCTATGTTAATGCTTATTAAGCTTATATGTTCGCATTATATAAAGTTCCATTCAATTGATTTCAGATAAAATGGATACCGATCCAGCGATGGCCAATTTCAAGGTTCTATTCGTATTGACACAATTAATTGGTCTGACAATGATCGTTTTAATGGGTTGCTGGATTGGTGTGCATATGGGCGGTTTGGCGGGCACCAGCAATCCATCTATCGAATTTAATTGGCATCCACTCTTAATGACCATCGGCTTAATATTCTTATATGGAAATGGTAAGTTTTGCTTTTGATCTAAATATTAGTCTCCTTAAATTCTCATGCTCTCTAATGCAACTTCACTTCATGCTAATTCGCTTCAAATCAATTCAATTTAGTCAAATCTAAACACCGACGCTTTGCATTCTTCATCAAAGGGTGCAGTCATACCATTGAAGCGCTTGCTGCATTTCGATTAAATGAATAACAAATTTTATCTTCGCTTTGTGTTGAATTTCAGTTTCTTCATTTGCCAATGCGTTAATATGTTGAGGTCTGATTTTGGAGGCTTCTATTAATTATGGATTTATAGTGTTTTTTTTTTATTTTATTTATTTATTTTTTTTTTTTTTATTACTTTTGACGCATGCGTGGATGAAGTCAATTTGCAATTATGCAATAGTTGTGTTCATATTGGTTTCTCAATGCCAGTCGATTAGTATTCTCAAATTGTTCAATTGTTAATGTGGTCGTTTTTTTTTTTTTTTTTTTTATTTTTTTTTTTTTTTTAAGGAATATGTTCAGTATGTAAATATATATATGTTTATTTTGTTTGTTTTCATACCATACACCGCGTTTGGTAAAAGGTATGCTGATTTCGTGCGGTTTGTGTTTGAGGATCAAAAAAATGGACATATGTGATCCAAAGGTCTAAGGTTAAGTTTGAAATAAATATCAAATTTTTATTATGAACCGATTTTCATCAAGAAGAAATGAAATTTAAATCTTTTTATCGTAGAAATGGTCAATTGCCTCAATTAGGAACAGTTAAATAGCAAAGGGTTCATTCAATCCAAAGTTTTCACAACAATTTAGAATATCGAAACACTATTACTAAGAGAAGGGAAGTGTGAGAGGTAGCGAAAAAGTCGACAGATTCGAAAGATTTTCAATAGCGTTCACCCTATCAAATTTCATCAAAATATCTCGGTGAACGCAAGATGGGTGGATCGACCTCAGATGGACAGACGGTGGGTCTCTCAAAAGCTCTGAGCACACACTTATACTGCAAGTAGTATACGATTTAATTATTTAGGGGTCAATGACAGAGTTTCCTATACAGCAGAAATCAGGATTTTAAGGATTAGGATCAGGATTTACTGTTATAAGATTCTCAGTTAGTTAGTTTTTTTTTGACTTTTCCTTCATCTAACGATTATGTTTCTCTTAATGGAAAAATATTTTCGACTTACAGTTCGAATATGAACTCGAATCCGAATCCGAGCTTTACCGAAACTTATCAACTTTAGAAACCGTGGCACTGAACTACATTTGGAAAGAAAAGATTCAAATATTTATAAAGACCTTACAAATAGCGATTGATTATTATCTATGCATTTTTTCAAATAATTTATGTATCGTTTATTTTTAGCTATTTTGGTTTATCGTGGTTTTCGTTCACTGCGTAAAAAGACATTAAAATTGTGTCATGCGGCCGTTCATGTTGTTGCATTTGTTTTGACAGTACTTGCACTAGTGGCTGTTTTTGATTCGCATAATTTAAGATCTGAGCCAATACCGAATATGTACTCTTTACATTCATGGTTGGGCTTGGCTGCCGTTATTATGTTTTGCCTACAATATGTGGCTGGTTTTGCGGCATTTTTGGCGCCTGGTGCTAAACAATCCGTGCGAGCAGCTTTATTACCGATTCACGTTTATTTTGGACTTTTCGGCTTCATACTGGCCATCGCCGCCGCTCTAATGGGCATTACTGAAAAGGCCATATTCTCTGTGTAAATAAAATACAATTAATTATTTAAAATTAATTAATGGAAGAAATTTCCAAATTTTATCCTTGTTTTATAATTTTCCTTTACAGAAAAGATTATTCAAACTTACCAAGCTCGGGTGTTATGGTTAATCTATGTGGTGTCTTATATGTAATTTTTGGTGCTCTAGTAGTGTATTTAGTCACTAATCCCAACTATAAACGAAAACCCTTGCCCGAGGATACGGTTTTGTTAACTAGTGCTAATGACTAGATAATCCACATATTAAATAATAAGCACAAATTTTAAATATATTTTTGTTTCTATATAAGTTAAGGTTTTGTTTATCGCATACGCCTAAACATGCAGAGGAGAGTGCTCAAATGTATTTTCTTTACTTTGTTAAGTTGAAATTTAAAAAAAAAAAAAAAAAAAAAAAAAAAGTCAACTTTTATGTGCACAAAATCGACGGTGCTTATAGTTAATGATGAACCGTTTACCAAGAGACGAGAATTCATTATTTACCATGAACGTAATAACATAGCAAAATATATATATGTTTATTAATCATATGCAAAAAATATAAATAATATATTTATTTATATATATATATATATATATGTATAAATATGCAATGACGTATTCTTATATGATGTTAGAAACGGCTGCGACTGCTCATCTAATAATCCAATGAAAGTGTCCACAGTAAAACCAAATAAGCAAATATACAAAATCAATATATATCTATACATCTATATATCTACATATACAAACTTTTACTTTAATTATATTATATAATGCACAAATTATCTAATTAAAAAAAAAATAATAATAATAATAATTTAAAAATCATTTAGAAAAGTTTTCGATTTACTTACCGAAGAATATCTGCTTGCTACGGATCGTTTATTGTTACTGAAGTTCCAAGTAATTGGTCTCATCGATCACGATATAGATTTATAATATTTGAAAAGTGAAATATTATAGAGAAAAACTGTTCGTATGAACGAGGACCGGGCAAAAAATAAAAATTATAATAATAGCATAAGATTGACCTGAACGAAAACGAGCATAATTATCATTACGCTGTGTGTTGAAGAGTTACTCTTCGTTACTATATACTTTCGAGAGCTCTTTAATTTTTCTAACGACAAAAATGGTTTGAAAACAAAATCTATCTTTTTCGTGTATGTCAATGATGTGGGCGTCTAAAACGGTATACAAAGCGTTTAAAGTAGATTTGGAAATAGTGGTGGACCGGCTTCGTCATGTTTGAATATCAAGGCCGCCTGTGAACGATAGAAACGGGTCCGTGTTTGCCGAAAAACTTCAAAAGCCCGCACTTTGTAAAAAAAAAAAGAAAAAGCGTGGGGCGGCAGACATAAGGTCAATGTTGGGACAGACAAATAAAATCAAATTAAATTAATTTGAAAAGTGATTCTAAATCGATCGATATAATAAAAAAACGTCTAGTTACGTGGGCGTTACGATAAATCCGTAAGAATTTTACATATTTTACTCTTATCGAAGTAATCGAACATAAACACCCTACTTGTTTGATGTAATGCCGTTTGATTATTTATTTGAGAATTTTCTCAGGAAATAATCAACGTTTACTCCAAGTTTAATAGATGTTATATGTATTTTGCTGTGCAGTTTTTTTTATTATACAATGACAATTTCGTGTTTTCTTTAAGAATTAGAAGGACTGGACTGGAAAGCTGATAACTACTGCTCTTGAAACTTAAACTCTTCATCGACATTGATAAAGTAGGTGGGTATATTTCCTCGGCCTTTTACTTCAGTTAAGCCACGATATGTGCAGCCAATATCAAAAGAACGTAAGACTTCGGCAGTTTCTTCGGTAACTTGAATACGTCCCGGTTCACCGGTAGTATCCATGCGTGAGGCCATATTTACAGCATTACCCCATACATCATAATGCGCCTGAAAAGATCCAACTACCCCGGCCATAACTTCGCCAGAGCTAATGCCTAATTGAAAATGCATTATCGGTAATCCGTAATTGTTAAATTTAAATAGCAATAAATTAATACCAATTCTGAGTTGAATTGGTGGGTTATCGAAATTTCGGGCTTTCTGCATTGATTCATTGAAGGATTTCACAACTTTTAGAAAGTCAACGGCAAAATTTGCCAAAACCTGCACTACACGACCTTTACGCGCTGTCCGACTTTTAGATATAGGAAAATCATTATCATTTTCATCGCTATCATCATCATCGCTATCGTCATTATCACTATCGTCATCATCACGATCGTAGTCGTTGGAAGCAACCGAATCAGGTAAAATAGACTTTCTCGGTTTCAAGTTTTCCAGCGAGGGATTTTCAGATTCTACTGATGCAACACTTAACGTCGTTAGTCTTTGTATGGTTTGTTTACGCGTATATCGATTCGGTACAAATACTGACTTAACCGATTGCAGGCTGTCATGCCAATAGTCCCTTTTTGCACTTAAACCACACGCAGCCATATAAGTCCAATTTATAACTTTGATTTTTTCAACTTTCACCGGATATTTATAAAAACTCAACTGATAGAAATACAAAAAAACAAAAAAAAAAAAAAAAAAAAGAAGAAAAAGAAAAAGAAAAAGAAAAAAGTGAACGAAATTAAGAACAGCAGGTAGTACAAAAATTACAATCATTGCCGCTTACGATTTCATCAAAATCGCATATAATTTCATTCATTAATCGCAAATCCATTGAGTCGGTTCGCCTATGGATAATTGTCGCGAACATTACTGCTGCATAATCGTGTTGTTCGTAGAAAGGTTCAGTTTGTAAACGTTTCGTTAAATATATTTGAACTGTGGTAAACGGGAAAACGATCGTTGCGTAGCGTAGACAAAGAATCATTAATTAACTTAATTACTTGGCTTTACTTATGTAGAAGAAACACTCACCCACATGCGCTGGCAATATATTATGCAATAACACGCGGATGGATTCATTTGTGATGTTGGAATTTTCAGTTTTCTCTTGCAATTGCCACCTATTGCTGTATAATATACACGTATATATGCATATATACATACATAAGTATATAAATTCATTTATTTTTGGTTTTTGTTTCATTTATTTTACCTGGACTCTCCGTTCTTAATACTTACAAATAATTACATTTCGATATAAATATTATATGGCGAGCGATCAGAATGTGAGTATAAAATATTATGAGAAGGCCCCAGATATGGGCAAACTCAGCGGATGCACCTTCATTAGTCGATATACTGGCTTCGAAAACTAAAGAGAATTCGTTTAACACCATTATTATATAAACTATTAGTAACGGGATCGTCAACATCAAGGACAACAAAAACGATATACGTGGCCAACTTAGCGCTAAAGCCACGTATAAGCACAAACTTTCAGTGACGGCCTTATATAATGAAGTCATAAAAACATTTTAAAAGAAAAATATGAAAAATTCATTAAATCGCATTTCGATTTACTCTCGTCTTTTATTACGAGAGATATATAGCGATTTTACCCAAGAATTAAAGCACAACGTTCGTACGCCTTCTTCCAATAAAAGATATATAATCTCATCATCATTTTCCAGTACAGTGTTATCGCAAAGTATCTATTAAATCGCATCCACATAATGCATTCAATATGTAAACGACAAAATTTGAGGTAATCGCTTTAATTAAATACTCACCAAATGAACGTAAGACGCGATTAAAATCGCCGTCATTCCCATTAAATATAATAGAGAACGTATAGCGATCCTCCTTCCCACGGTCAGTCTACTTGCTCGGAATGCCGTCATCGAACGTCGTACATATCTTTTTAATGGTAAAAGCCGGTAAAGACTGTGCTCAATATTTTTATGCCATATAAATGCGATAGGTATTATAAGAAGCAAAACCATAAAACCGCTTATAATCCAAAATTCAAACATATTTTGAATGCTGAATAAAAGAAACAGATTTCAATTTTATATTCAACAACAACACAAATATAATACGAATGAATGAATGCCTTATCATAAAATGTTTTTCATCTATTTTTCTACGTTTCTATGAAATTCATATATTCATATATCCTCCTCCCTCGCGAAGTGCATTTTTATGTCCTTAAACTTCGAAATAAGATTAAATAAATACTTGTCCTAACGTTTAGCGATAAGTAAGGTTTCAGTGTTATCAAGACGCAACGAAAATTTACACATACGCATTACATTTGCGAGCACCATTTATCCTTCGTATTAAATTGATTTTTACGTAAATACTGATGACATAGTTAGTATCGTAAGTGATAAAATTTGCCATCACTTCCTACGCTAAGTTACTATCCGGCACTTTTAAGACTTGTCAGAGAGTTTTTTTTTTGTATATTGTACAATATATTGAATTCAAAGTAGTAGAGCATTGAAAATGTTCGCAAAGATATTCAATATCGATACTAAGTCGCAACCACGCCTCTACGAAAGATACAAATAGTTTTACGACGCTTCCATTTAGTAAAATGAAATGAATTATGAAAAAATGAAGAGACTTATACTTCATAAAAGAATCCGGTTAAGAAGTAGGAATTTCTGCTACAAGTCTTATGAAACGATATAAAGTTGAACAGGAATGTGCTCGATATTCGGCCGTTCAAACGATGGTCGAAACATTCAAACGATAAAATTTTTGAACACAAAATAATATAAAAGTAAGCTTCAAATCGACCGGCATAACTTCAGCGTTTCCCAACTGCTAGAAGTAATAAGGAGTTACGTTAAGAGGGTTTATGTAAACTGTTTAAAAATACGAAAAATTGTTTTTAGCTTTCATTTAATATATATCCTAAGCTAATATCCTGCCGAAAAATGTCAATATTTTGCAATTTTGATCACAGACATCAGAGCATCGAAGAAATTTTGGACTTTTTTTTTACTTCAGTCAGCTTGTTACAGAGGCACTGCAATAGGGACATTGAAACCGCTTGATATTTTTCTTTGAGTGTTTATTTACTTGCCTTCCTGAGTATAGCCATTGTGCTAGACATTATTAGGCCGCCCAACCACTTGTGGTACAATGTATATTGAGTAGATATAGAGCTATGTAGCATCCAGAAAGACTCATTCTTTTTTTATACCCCGATTTGTTCAGATCAGTTAGAACACTTTTCTGAATTAAGTTCATCTGTTTATCTACAATCGCTCCACATGTTTTTTCATTTCAAACATTGCTCACAAAACGTTTTGCATTAAACGGACAAAGCTGTGTAATAGCATCTCGGAAGGGCCAATTTCTTATCTCGTTCTCACAAAACCGACATGAAGGCATATTCTCAAGATTTTGTGAAGTAAATTTGGGTCATGATTGTAAAATGGCAAGAAAGAAAAATAAATCGTACCAAACTTGGATCACGTAAGTCTATTTTTTGGACCTCATTGCGTATGAAAAGTAATGAAGAAAATTATGACGAAAATAGGTAAAGAACGGTGAAATGAAAGGATCTGAAAATTACTTATGCTAAGCTAGAATTGCGTGAGTGTACGTTTTGATCGCCCGCTTATATCAATGCTTTCACGAACAGTGTAAAATGGTATCGGATATTTTATCGTTGACCCAACTATAGCATTTTAATTTATTATTTTAATTTTCGAGGACATGTCATAGTTGTGGGTAATCATTCGAGTAATCATTCGATGTGCATGTCATAGTAATCATAAAGTGAATATATCTTTTGCTTTTGATACTCTTTTTCCACCATTATCGATAGTACTTACTATTTATTTGCGGCTTGCATGGCGATTACGCAAAGTAATATTAAAAAGGATATTATAACGGGAAATTTATAAAACTCGTCTGCCCTATACGCTAAATATTTGATTTCCCAGTTCCAGTCACCAAATATTAAGCAAACACTACTTATGCTACTTTTGGCCCGGTATTCTTCAATCTCGTCGGGTAATAAACGACGCTGTCGAGTAAACCAGCGGCCGTAAAATCTAATCAACATTGCATAAGTATAAATTAATAGAAGATGAGTATATTATATATATATATATATATATATATATCTTTACATATATGACTTACTGCAGTTTACAAATAGGTAAATTTTCTATTTCCAGCTCCATCAGTTCTCTTGCTCTATTAACAATCTCCTGATATTCAAGCTGATAGGCGTCGTCAAAGCTCGCATCTACCGATTCAAGATTGTAAAACCTGTAATCTGCCTCTTCCTTACTGCGTACATAATTTTGCCATTCATCTGACAATTTCATTTTGGCCTTTAAATCGGAAAATCATTTTTATTAATTCTACGAATCAGTTATAAACACTTACGCTCGGTTCAATTATTAAGAAAGTTTTGATATTATATTTCAATAATGTCGGATGCGATTTGGCTCTTTCGGTGCCTTCTTCGCAAATGTAATAACCATCAGCTAAGGTTAACGTGGCCTTACTTATATGAACGCGTCCTGGGAGACCTGTCGATTCGAGGCAATTAGCTATATTAACATCCTTGGACCAAATATCATATTGCCATTTGGATGATCCAATGATGCCCGCCAACAAACTACCGGAATGTATACCGACACGCATATCGATGTCCACATTTTTAATGGCTCTTTAAGGTATTATTCACTTAGTTGCTTAAGAATGCAATGAATTGCTTGCATTTAATTACCTAACTTCGCGTACGTTCTTTATAATAGAACGTCCCAATTCAATGCAGCAAACACTGTGCAGTGGATGCGAGACTGGTACGCCAGAAACGCCATAGTAACAATCACCCAAAAATTTTATACGCATTACATTAAATTGCTGTAGATTGATATAATCAGGAGAAAGGAATTGTAATGCCTATATGGAAGAGAAGACCTACCTTGCACGCTTTATCAAATCTTTGGAATAGATCATGTAGAATTTCCACTAAACTCTTGACATCCAATTGTGTTGTCAAGAATGTAAAATTAACCAAGTCGGCAAAAAGAATGCTTACATCCTCATGAGATTCAATGAAGAGTTTCCTGAAATTATCAAAACAATTCTTAAAAAAAAAAAAAAAAAAAATGATCGAATAAAAGCTCAGCTCAGCTCGAATACCTTCCGTTTTCGTCCGTTAAAGCACCGACCTTGGCCCTTTGAATACGATATTGAATTTCTTGACCAATCTTTTTCGCTATCGGCTCCGGTATTATGCTTACTAGGAGACTTTTCTAAACGCATACATAATACAGATGAAGTCATCACTTTGTTGTTGTTTGCCATGATAATATATTAATAAACTGACCTCTTGGTGTTTAGCATATTTCCAGATAAGTGATTGCTCCAATGTTTGACGTCTCGTAAGGAATACGATACGTGTTACAGTTTCGCGTCTCCACCGATTAAATATTCCCAACATATTTAAACCGACTAGAAAGAAAAGATCAGGTACAAATAAGGCCAAATCTATGTCTCTCGATTCCTCCGCCGATTTCGTTACTATTAAAAAGTCCGCTGCATAAAACACACTGATCGAGCAGCCCAAAAGAAGTGGTTGTAGAAATCCTTGTAAAGGCATAAATAGATAAACAGTCGATATTACATAGCCGGCATAGCAAGGACGTAGCGTCTGCTGATAGGTAATATAATGACTTAAATTTACCAAAACATCTGCAATCAAAAAAAAAAGTTGGAAAAAGATTATAGTAATAATTTAACATAATATATATATATATATACCAGTTGCTGCCATTGTGAAAGCACCTGCCCAAGAGACTATAAACGGTACCATAACTCTATCTCCATATTTTTTGCTCAAGTAAATTTGAAGTATAAGACAAGTTAGTCCTGCTCCACCCAAGTATATATAAAAATCGTATACCACGTGCTCCCCATCCTATGAATAGTGAAAAATGCAACAGATTCTTGCTCGATTGCTCGATAAAAATACTAACCTTTTGAAAATGATATGTTACTATTGAATGAACAATAGTGATAATTATATGGATTATAATTAAAGTGCATAGATAATTACGATAAATCTTGCTCACATAATTTTGATATACGTCCTCTAAGCCCATATCTTGACATTCCTCCTTTTGAAAGAATATTAACTTGACAATATCAAAACTTTAAGCACACTTTTATTACCTTGAGTTCAGCGTAATTGCCCTTAACCTTTGATATCAGCGAGTCGTGATACCGATTATCCATTTTGAAGATATTTCGCAATGAATTTTCTTTATTTTCAGGAAAAATATTCTTTTTTTTTTTTATTTTATTTTAAATTTATACACGTAACGTCAACTTCAAATTGATCTGTGTTGAAATGTATTGGTTTGTATTGTTTTTTTTTTTTTTTTTTTTTTTGCTAAGGATAGGCCATTGCGTACAATATTATCAACTCTGGACAGAGTTTATGTACACAAAGTAAAAAACTCATATTATGTTCGCTGTCAGAGCAACTTTATCAGGACTGAGATCATATCAAATATTTTAGACGTTGGACTGCACTCTGCAGTAGACCGATCGAAAGCGATTGTTTGTACAATTGCATAGCCTACATAATAAGTAAGGATTGAATCTATTGATTATTTTTAATTTCGAATAATTAATTTGAAGGGGATTAAGTTTTGGAGAAATTCTCTTGAGTTTACAAAGAAACAGCAGCAAGATTAAAAAATCGGAAAACACTATTCAATCGAAAAAATGTATATCACGGCTGACCTGAAAAAAACCAACGGAGGAATCATTTAAATTGGCGGAAAATGGAATTTGCAAACAAACTTGATTCGATGTATGGATTTATGTTCGATGAATAGATAAGAAAATTCCATGTACAATATTAGCTTAACAACTGACAACGACTCTCCTATAACAGCAATATCGCTACCTTATGGTATGGAATTATTGGATTGATAAACTACCATGAATTTGCCCATTTTGCATAATGACATCCAATTCAAAGCCTCATTAGGTGTGTGTGTGTGTGTGTGTGTGTGTGTGTGTGTGTGTGTGTGTG